GGTTATAAGTAATTAAAAATGGGAGATTTCAGCGAGTATGTTTAAAATGCTGAATCTAGAATGTTGAAATATTAAAAAACTTAGGTAAAAACAGAAATAATCACAAAACGTACAATTGGTACACAATATCAAAGGAAAAACTAACAGAGTTATAAGAATCCGGAATACTATAACTGGAAGAAGAGGAGGAGGTATTACACCAAGTAGCCAGTATAAGGAGCACAATCGAAATTACAGCGTTTTTGGATAACACAGATATAAAGCACTAAGCTTAAGCTATCGTCCGATATATCAATATATAAAGAACCTAACAGAATTAAACAGAGAAGAATATCTAAATTACATACTACGAATAGTTTTCATTTCCGACATATATATATATATATATATTATTTTAATACGTTATATTATATTTCTTAACTTTTTCTTAATATTTAGTATGTATTTATCTTTGTGTATGCAGCACAGTGGTGTATATATATCATAAATCTTTATATATATATATCAAGATTTATTATTTATCTAACTGTAAGTTTAATTTTCTTATGACTCGTTGCATATAATTGAAAGTGTTTTTCGCTTCCTCTCTATTGTTAATGATTAGTGTCTGGACGGAGACAGTCTTTTCCTTTTGGAATTTTTTCTCCTTGCATATCATATTGTTGGTATGTACACAACACAATACAATACTATATGTATATAAGTATATATACGCAATTGTATACACTAGCATAGATACATATTAACCATTAAGAGAAAGTTAAGTAATATAATTTAAGTAAATAAAACACAATAAAATAACAATATAGTATAGTGTAAGAAAGTACTAAGAATGCAACTATCTCTTTGTAATAGACCCTAGGCTTTAAGTACAGATAAATTGTTAATATTATTAAGTAATTAAGGAGACAATACGGATCAATGATAATTAAAGACGTAAAGTACAGAAGAAAGTAAACGTTATTTTAAGTACCACGTTTTAACATTAATCTCCTATGTAATTGTAAATTTCTGTCGAATTGTAATACAATTGTAATAAAATTCTTTATGGTAAGATAGTCTGAGGTAATGAGAAAAATAACAGAGAAATTATCATGTAATTTGCATTGCGCGCTTTCGTGGAAAGTCTGCACCGGAAGAAACACGTCTATCAATTTGTTCAACGAGTTATCAGAAGTTATTGAGTTATGCGTTGAAAGAGACGTAGAATAATCAAATGAAAAGACGTCTTTATGAATCGTTTGATGCATAATCTAATTTACGATTTAATTGTCGTTTTAATTAACGATATTCAACGTTGCATACATTCTGATATATACACTCTAAACGGAATTATCAATTTCGATTCTTTGTGTTCTTTTTAGATTCATATCGCTGAGAAATAAAAATAAATTCCTTTGTTTCCAGCATGTTTAAATGTTTATAACATTTGCGTCAATATCTTTATATCCAGTATGTATAAAAAGTAAGTGTAGAAACTAGTATCACTACTATTAGTTTCACATCTCCTATATCTGTGGTATATCTGTAAAAAGGAATCTGTGCAAAATTGACCTTAACCTTGAAATTCAAGATCAAATTCTTTCCACTGAGTTTCACTAGTTTTTGGACTCGCTTTATTTACGATATGGTTATATATAGCCAGATTATTGTAGCCAGACTGTTGCGTATGTACACCTGATATACCTTTAAATATCACTTTTCTTCCTTGTTTCTTTCTTTTTCAATCTACGTGATAGCAATTCCAACGTGTCAGCTAAGCAGTTCCGGATATGTATTTCTATAATATATTTTGACCACGTTTCTTAAGAAAATTACATGTTAATTTTAGGCAATGGAAAGCACGTTTAATTTAATGGTGTAATTATTCAATTCAATAGTAAACTTTATCCGAGATGTAAATATATTATAAATAACATTAGTTTTATATGAATATAAAATTAATGAAACTCTAACATCATTTTGTAAGAGAACGGTTGAGTTGTCTTGAGTCTTAAAGTCGAGGTCAATTTTATACAGACTTTTACAAATTTCTATCGATCCAAAGGTGTAGAATCCCGTTGTGGGGGTTTTTACACTTACAATTTATACAAGAGACTTTAGTTTAGACAAGACTATAGTTTTTTAATAGACGAAGACATAAGAAAGTATTTTCATCTTTTAATGATAGAAGAAATGTTTTCACATCTTCTTAAGATAGAAGAAAACATCGCAAAGTGAGATTAAACGATTTCGAATGGAATATTTCTTGATAAGGAGTCTTTTTTAAAGGCTAAGGTATTTCACAAATTCATTTCGTATTTTTTAAATATTTCTTCGAAGGCATAATTTTAAACGCGTTTATCTCGAAAAGTGATTTTCACACGTTTAATTCCTTTTTACCAGAGCACGTCACATACACATAGTATAGAAGCTACAACTGTTACAAGATATTTATTAAAAGTACACATTTCGGAAAGTGCACCAAATTATTTGGATAGTCAATTATCCATTGCATTAATAAGCACAATATGTAACGAATAATGAGACAATCTTTATCATTAATTGTATGGTTAAAACTTTATTCATGCTGTATACTAATTTTTCACGATGTGTATGTGTAATTTGTACGTACGAAGGTGAGTCATCTAAGAGTTTAAGCTGAAATATTTTCGATATTATTAATTATGTCGGAAAACGTTCCGGATAAAAATTGAATGGCTTCAAAGGGAACATGTTTCAACGTTATGCAGTTTTTTTGTAGATGGGCGAGCGAAGGAGAAAGGTTATACGGAGTTCAACTTCGTTCTTTTAAATGGAATCATATATTTTTTAATACATTAATCGATGCAGCTCGAGATTCTGTATAAAAAATTATTAACCTACTTATATCGAAAAACTATTAGTTTAAAGATATTTTAACTTATAGTTTGTAAAACTTATCGTATGAAAGACAAGGAAAAGCATAAGGCACAACTTTTGTATTCGTTTTTCTTATCTTTCATACGATAAGCTTTAGAGACTAAAAGTTAAAATATGTATTAAACTAATAGTTTTTCTCGAGCTGTATCGCTTAATGTATTGAAAAATATATGATTCCCGAAAGAAGCTTAAATTCTTAGATGTCTCTCTCCGTATATTCGAATTGGATTCAAATTTTACTATTATAATTACGATAGTCGTATTTTATTGTACAGCCAACAAAATTTAAAAAATGTTTGCATAATGAACATAATGTATTCCTAAGAAAATTCTGTGGTAAGTGTCAAATACTTTCACAAGTATATAAATGAGGACAAATTTCTGTTGAAACATTTATGTACAAACAAAGATTCGAAGGCGAAACTCAGACAGAAAACGTAGCATGCTAATCAGTTGTGCGAAAAAGACGCAATCTTCCGGTTGTCGTTTCAAAAGGTGTGACAATAAGCAAACTCGTTGTCGGGTGAAAGATTTAAGTAAATTCATTGAAGATCCCTTGTGAAACGCAAAATACTCTGAGAGAACAGTTCGAATCTTAAAAGTGCGGTGACTCACGGATGAGAGAAGTGAATAGCTGTGGTTCAGAAAATTTTCAAGTGGAACATTGTCTATGCGATGTATTTAATACATCAAATTAAAGACGATGAACGATAATTGAAGAAGTCAAGGCAAGAAAGGGATAAACCGCATTTTTGGCGAAATTATGTCGTTAAGCGTTCCTTTGTGTCTGTCCGAGAGCGATTTCTTAGTACTGTGAAATAAATCAGAAATAAAAATGAGAAGTTTGCTTTGAAGATATCGAATAACATTATTTTAAATTAATATTTACAAAGATAATATGTTTAATCGGATATAATATCCGTTTGATATTTTAGTTGTTATAAATTTAATATCAATTAATATAAAGTAATTAAAAACCAATTTACTAAGATAAAGGAGAATAGTTAGTAGAAAGTAGAATACTAGAGTATAAATAGTAGAATAGTTAAAACTATAATAGTAGAATAGAAAATAGAATAGTAAATAAAATAGTAAAAAAGTATTAAAAGGAGTATATTATATTAAAAAGTACAAAAAAGTATTAAAGTGTGGTATCGGTAAGAGTGTTGGTATCGGTAAATCTATCTTGACAATATCGAAGTATTATTTTCAATTAATTTTCACGAATTTGTCAATACCATAAATTCATCATCGATTAATATAAAATTGATTTAGCCAAAATCAATTTCCCTATATTGGAAACAAAACATAAAGTCGAGCATTATTACCATATCTACTTTAAAAATGTTTAATGATATTATCCGCGATCAATATTTCCAAGAACGATATCCTACTCTCAAAATACCACTCAAAATTTTAACTTCATTATGCAGTAACAAAAACAGCGACCCAATATCAGACTATTAATAAAGTATTGATCTCGGCATAAACTAGCTGCGTAAAACAAATAGAAAATACAAAGAATATGGATAAAATCTCATTTCGATAAAAATCCAAAGTCAACGATAAAATCCAAATAAAAGATCATTACAAAAAAGGAACGTTGAATTGCACCAATGTAATTCGATATAAAACACAAAATCAAGACTCGCGTGAAATAATTGCTAAAAGATCAACATCGAAACAAAGACCATTCCAAAAGAACGAACTAATATAATCAACGCGGCTAATATAATTCGATACAGAGCCAAAGTGAACAATCAGATAAAATACCTTGGGAAGCTAAACAGATATCTTAGAAATAACGAAAGATCATTATAAAAGGAAGAATCATAAAATTCACCTAGTCCGCTCCAGAAATTTTTCAATAACGTGTTAAAAACAGGAACGTGTCATATTCTTCCTCAGCTACGATAAACCCGTAAAAGCCGACCGCGTTCACTTATTATCCAATCATGAAACAAGGAATTGACACGTTGTAACTCTCACCCCAATGCCGTGGTAAATCCTATTAGTTTCTATTTTCATCGATGATCGATGACAAAGAAAAGAAAAAGGAGGAGAAGGAGAATCTTCAAACGGGGAGAATCACCAATCACCTTTCGTACAGGACATCGATACACGTTGCAGGATAGGTCGCAGTATCGCGGTGTAGCCGGCTCCCTGATGGCAGACACTCGATAGCCCATCTCATCCTCGTCCACGTTGATCCTTCGTTCCTTCTCCGAAGTATCTACAAACCCTCGGTTGTTCTCCATGATCAGTCTTAGACGATTCTTCTCCGTTTTAACGGTTTTCGGGTTCTGTGGCATCGCACGAGGAAGAGGGATCATCGAGTTGCCGCGTGTTCTGACTTCGAACTCGCTCGTCTTTGACGGAGAAAGCTCTCTTCTTACACCAGACGTTGTTTGTCTTAAGCTCCTTTCCCTATTTTCACCAGGCATAACTTTTCTTTTCTCCGATATTTTATTATATCCTGTATTATTTTTCCACCTTTCTCTGTTTTATCGTTTTTATCGTATTCTGTCTTCCTGTAGTCAGCTGATCGGTCAAGGAGTTTCGATCGGACAGAGAAATCGAGAGGTTAAATCGAAAGTTTAAGTCGAGAGGTTAACACGAAAGAATGGTGGAATGACGCGTCGCGGCGCCCGGTGTAACCTGGCTGGTCCGACGTCGACGCACACCATCAGAAAACCTCTCTTTTCTAGGTCTCGACCCTTCTTCATCCACCGAGGGGCAGCTTCATCGCGCTCCATCGGGCGTCGAGTGCGTCGGCACGCATGCGTCGAGGCAAAGATTTTCGAAATGTCCCTCTGGCATTTCATCAACACCTCATCTCGACTGCGCCAAGAGCCCCTTTCATCTGCCGGTTCCTTTTCGCGACTTGGTTAATTATTATTTTTCACGTGCCGTTTCGTTTGTACTTGTTGCTTGTCCAACTGTTTTTTGCTTCGTTACTCGAAAACGTAGCGACAGACCGTTTCTACGGGCCTTAATTGGTACGCTGACCTCTTGAGAATTTGTGGAATGTGTCGTCGAGCGAGGAACTATTTTTTTCTTTGCACTTCTGACGCTGGTGTAGAGAACGATCGAACGATACGATTTATAAAACGGACCAGTTATCCACAGTGATCGTTATGCATCGTAAAATCTTGAAACTGGAATTAGGAATGTAGTTACGTACCTGTCAAGTACAGTCTTTTTCCGGATACAGTGCGAGGAACTTTCTTTTCCCTTCTTATTGTAATTTTTGTCTTTTAATGCGAAATTGTTTGTTGTAATTAACGTTTATTACATTCTATGTCTGGAAGTTTCTGAGTGATCTTAGAATTGTAATTTGTAGAATTTCGGACGCTATTTTATCGAAGGAACAATCTTTCCGTATACTCAATCTTGTACACTTGGTATTACGCTTTATAATTCTTAGTATTATATCTATCGTAGTATCTAGCTGAAGTTGATCTAGGAAGAATTTCTGTTCTCATTCACGATTCTTTAAAAATTTCGTTTCCCTTCGCAATGTTATTTTCCTCGTGACACAGTCGATGGTTTGGTATTACAGGTTCCATTTATAGTTGCACGGTACCACTCGACTCGTTTACGACCCACGTTTTACCATTCGTTTCGCAAATCAACCGGACGCGCCTTTTGCGGTGAGAGATAAAGAAGGAAAATCAGCTTTCTTCCTTCTCCTGTCTGACTTCTTCCGAAGAAAATTTCAACTCGATATCAACGTCTTACTTAATCTTATTTTTCATTACCTTATTCGGTCCTTAATTCCCAAATAAATTTGTCCAAAAATACAAGAGACGCATGGTATGTTCAATGCATCTCTCACTTTCTTTAGGCTTTCACTGTCGTAAAAGAATCTTGATACCACGCGAAATCGTAGTTTGCTCTTCCAATTTCTTGCGAATTTTACTTTAAAAATTTAGTACATTTCGAAAGAAAATCACTAGCTACCTCGATAAATTCTGTCATTCGATTTTCCTCAAACACATGACGTTTCGAAAGAGATTTCCAGAATTTTTCAAATCATTGGTCGTAATCCAAAAGATTGTCCATTCTATTCAAATCCTCTGTTCAAACATACATCCTTTTCAATTTCCGTACGAGCGTTTCTACTTTTGAAGCTATTTCCCAAGGAAATCTACCGGTCTCTTCTTTACCGATCTGTGCTCGTTAAAGAAATTTCTGTTTCTTTTCAATTACAGGGATTGTCGAGGACTCCTTCGCACTGTGAACATGCACCACTCCGATTCGACTTGAAAATACGCGTTATTCTGTGAACAATCGCGACTCGCTGGAACGTCGCGTTCGATTCGTTATTTTCTCGCCCGAACGAGATCGAAAAGTGCCCGAAGGCAAAGGTATCGCGGTTCAAAGCGGTTCATCCGTCAAAAAAATCAAGATAACGAGGTCTAGATAACAGAGTCGCGCACGTTTTCCCATACCATGGAACGCTCGCACCGATATATCGTCAGGGGAGATTCGTTTTTAAGTACGATTCAATCGTCACTGTCGCTTCATCGCCGTTTCCGGGGAGCATGGAGCACCGTTCACAATCGATTCACTGTTTTATACGAATAAAGCGTTCTTATCTCACGTTGTTCGCACTTTGTCTTCTTCTTTTCCTTCCTTCCTTCGTCCTACCAGTGAAATTACGAATCGGAACGAAAAAATTACGATGAAAAAACGTTAACGAATGGAAGGCGATAAAACCGGAAGATCGAGGAATAACGAGGTATCGACGGGTACATGAGAGCACGGAGCGCGTTCAGGACTACGTAGTGTTGGTAGCTGAAATAAACTGACGTAGGTTAGGGGATCGAAGAACAGCTGGGCTCGGCCTGGCTGCTGTACGCCATCACTGACTCACTCAACCTCTTCTCTCACTCTTCCACTCCATCCTTTATGCAATACCTCTCGCTCTTCCAACACTGTGTCTTTTTCTATCTCTCTTTTTATCCTGTTTTCTCTCTATTCTCCCTCCCTCGCTCGTGCACACTCCATGGATCCGTGACTGTCCTTTTCCTTCTTACGCTACTGGATAAATTCGTTTCTCTCTTGCTCTGCCGCTGTCGATGCTACGTACGTTCTTTCTCCGCTGCGTGAAATTGTCCTGCCTTTTTTGACGTTTCGATTTGCGTCTTTGATTCATTGGTTTTCTCATAACGCACAAAGCATCGTTCTCTTTATCTATCGAGTAATATTAAGTTTTCTTTTCACTTTTACGACAGTTTAGTCTTTTTTAGAGCGGCTTTTTATTCTCTCTTATTTTTTATTTTCTTGGTTGCTTCTGTTTTATGGTAAGCTTTAGAACACGTTGTGTAATTGCATTTTTGCGTGCACCGTTTCGTTAAACAAGAGGTTGTTTCGTTTTTAATTTCTAGTAGAAGTAACGTTACGTCATCCGTCATTTCATCGACTTCTTTGCGTTTTTATATTTATATACTTGAGATTACTCCTTTGTTCGCACCATATTATTATTCCTATTTCTCTTTTTTTTTACAGTTCACACCATGCACAGCGAAATAGCGAATATTTACTCAATTTACAATGACCTATTTTATTAGATATGACAAGAATTTGTTACTAAATTTCTATCCTCAGCCTAAAATAATTTTTTTCGTGCTTCTGCGTAAATCGCAATCAATTTCAAACGAACTTGTGAACGGAAAAATCTTCGCTTACTTACTTTTCACATACCTACTAATATAATGTATGCAAGGTTATTTATTTCCCCTTATTCACGTTTTTCTGTAAACTACATTTTCTCCTTTTTTCCACACAAATTCCTTTCTTCTATTCGCTGTATCTTTAAGAAACTACATACTATTTTATACTTAGAATTATTATCTTTCCTATCGATTGTATCACCTCCATGTTTTACTTTATTCTTATCTTTTTTCTGTTATATTTACTCTTTTTCACGGTTATTGAATGTTTTATCTGGGATATCTAATCAAAATCCTTTTTTCACCTCATTAGGGACGAGTTCTTGAGCGTAGATGGATCAGGAAACGGATTGGCGCCTTGGTATATCGATTAGAATGCAACGTGCGTCAAGTGGAAGGTGCTCTTTATTGTTCTTCGTTATCGCTGGTTATCAAATACTTCGCATATTATTCTGTATACCGTATTTCCTTTATTGATAAAACGGCGTTTGTGGTGTGTGATTTAATCAGTGATTTCGCGATTTATCCGTAAATTTGTTCCGATTGCTCTACTTTGTGCAATGTGTACATTACGTCAATAATAATACTGACAGGAAAGGGTCGAAGGCGATATTTCTTTTTCTATTACCTCATGTCACCTTCCTTAATAAAAAATCTTCGTATTTCAAATAAAAGACATATAAAAGGTTCAAAATTCTTTATATAAACAATATATTGCTTTGTTTTACTGTTGTATCTTTACTTGAAACGTTTGACCCATAATCATTTATAAAGGCAGGATGCCTATTGTTACGAAATCGATGATACGATGATTGTTATATTTAATATTTGTGTCGCTTACATGCATTATATTAATAATAATATTCTAATTAATAATAATAATAATAATAATAATAATAAGAAGAAGAAGAAGAAGAAGAAGAAGAATACACTTATGAAATAATAAATAAAATAAATATATATGTAGTACTATGTAGTTCTATATGAATATAATGTAAATTTTATTTATGGAAAACAATTGATGTAAGCTTTCGAGATCTTTAGAAATTTATCGATGTATTCATGCATATTTATATAATTTGTATGATTTTTAATTCTTTATAAATTGCTCGTATTTAAGATTTTTTAACTTTATTTTTGCAGAATTCAGTTTCCATAAGATATCATATTAACCCAAGTATTATTTTGCAAAATTAAAGTTACAATGTCTTTTAAACTATCGTTTTCAGACACAAAAACCTTGACCTCTTTTTGTTGAGAATTAGATCCATCTGTAAAAATGGCATCGATCTGTTAATAAATACATAACGCGATATTCGTACAAAACCTCCATTCTAAAAAAAATATTTCTTGAACGAAAAATATGACGATGACCTAATAATTTTTCCAAGTACACAGATATTCCAAAAAACTCAGAAGTTTATATCAAATCCAACAGCCACAGTTTCTACGCTGGAAGCAAGGGGGAAAAATCGTAGCTCGATTCCCCATGGCGTGATACACTTGAGCCATTTCGTGGGACAGAAGAAACTCTGATCAATAACATTACCCCAAAGAGAAGCGGCAACCCCTCTGCAACGACTACTCCCCCATGATGGTGAGCGCATGCCCACGAATTAAACGGCATCCCTTCTTGCGATTTCACCATGCTAGCTTCCCCTCTTTCTAAGAGGGAAAAGACGAAAAATAAATATGCGGCAGAGCAAGAACAAAGAGACACCGCGTTTGTACGCGACTTTTATTCAGGCTAATCAGCTGACCTTGATCGTGAAAATATTTCTGATGAAGGAAAACCGGATATAAAATATGATTTCGTACAGAACCGTGCCAAATATATTTTCCATTGCATTACTAAAAACTATAAATTGCAAGAAAATATTCGAACGATCGGAGCGCTCACCTTCCTTAACGTCGATTTTTAGAAGAGAAAGTGAAAACACTTGAGGGACTATAAATTAGGCCCTTCTCCTTACTGCGCGGAGTCCTAGCGGGCTCTAACGATTTTACAACTGCAACGACTTTATATTCTTTGTACGATGGTCAACGCGGACGCATTTCAAGTAGTATTCTACGCGATCTCGAATATTACGAATTAACGTTGCGCTTTTATAAATTTTTATAAATTTTGCGATTTTATATACATCTTGTTAGTTTTCCACACATTTATCGTCGTATCGTAAAGATTATGTATGGTTGTAAAGCTGATAGTTGGAAGCGATTCAAAGCCAAAAGGCAAGAATGAAATAAATAAATATGCAAGAAAAAATAGTTTGTCTCATATAATCCCACTTCTGATATGTGGGAAAAGGATTTAATTTATGGTATCCTCGAGTGTCTTCATTTCCTCTTCTTAAAACCGACGGTGACGAAGGCCAGACAACTGATCCCATGGTTGGGATCTTTGAGTTTTCTTACAAAATTTATACTTTTTGGTTGAATATTTTAATATGAAAAAGCTTCGATTCTTTTCCTTTTCTTTATGTCAAGGTTGATCGATATAAAATTTCAAGCTCTTACATGACATCATTGTATCATATAATTAGTGTATTTTAGTGTAGCGCGAGGAAGTGCATCGACGGGAGTCGTAAATTCCCGTTACGATTATAAGAATCGACGCCACGAACAGATCGATCTCCTTATTTCTTGTGGGATAACAGAGGTGATTGATGTGGTATAACACTGCGATTAACAGGATTATAAAATTTATATTTCCAACACTTAATACACTCAAGAGTTACACTGTTACGTATGATATAAATGATAAATGACGATACTTTGAAGTATGACACTCCGATAGATGAGCACTGACTGTTCTTTCGTAGTAGAGCAAAGCCCTTACAGTTGAATATAAGAAGAAGTCGACTTTCTTGGTATAGCAGAAATAGCAATTGAACTGACTGAATATAAATATGAAGTGACTGCTCTGTAGTGATGAGAATCAGTGAAGTTCGTTCTTGCGTGATTATGGAGGAAAGCTCGGCGTGGGTGTGTTTTTTGAACTAAGGACGTGGATTCGTTTTTCACACTTTTCGTTAGAGAAGCGAGGGTAACTATTCGCGATGCCCATTGGTTATAGCTAACGCTAATAAATGAAGATTGGAAGAGGAAGTCTCTTGACAAATTTAATAGCCAAAAATGTATAAAATGAACTTAACTTGGTGACGGAAGTTTATAAAATGTTTGAAATATAATACTTATTACGCGATATTTAACAACTGAAACTAATTTCTGCTTATATTCTACTGCTTCTTTTTACCAAATGACCAGCTGGACAAATTGTAAAGTACAAATTAAATAATAAAAAAAAATATTCTACTTCTTCAATCGCGTTCGTGAAAATACGAATTTGCATAAATGTCCACAATCCGCGGTATAATTATTAAAGTTGAAACTTTCGAATATGTGTCATGAACGAACTGTGAATTTGTATGCAAATTCATATTTTTATGAACACATTTAAAGAAGTAGTAAAATCTAAGTAAGCTTCTAAGTTTATAATTTTGCTTTGGATATTTTATACATTCTTACATATTATGTTCGTTTCGTATATCTCTGCATTTTTTAATTTTTAATAAATACACAAGAAGCCGTAGTCTATGGTACTTGTGAAAGAAATAATCATTAATATAATATAAATAGAAAGAAATATCTTTCAAATCTTAATGAATCTGATTGAAACATTGAAACGTATAATCTTTATTTTTATATCGATTATACTGCTCAAACTTAACTATACAATTTGTGGTACTTTTAAGCT